AAAGACAAGGGGCACGAACTGAAGAAGGTGTTCAGGGATTGGTTCTTGAGTCGTGAGCGGGGGAAAGAAAAAAAGGCTTGAGTGTGAACTCAGATGAAATTTGAGGGGACGGAAAAGAAATTTTAATAGAAAATTATCGTTACTAGTCTATTATATCTACTATATAGATCAAAATGCTGCATGACAGGTTTCTGAATGAGTAAAACAAAAGAAATTTTAATCATTAGCATACAAAGCGAAAATTCAGGGTGCAGGTGTACGCAGAATTTGATTGCTGTTCAGCGATAATGTGACAATTTTCATGGTTGTGAATTTTGGGGTGTAGATAGAGTTAAATCTGCTGCAAACTTGTGTAAATGACCACTGGCTCTATATCCTGAGACGCACTCAACTTTCTGGGGGCTCAGTGACAGACGACGACACGCGATGAGGACATCGATCTTGAGTCCGCGGAGTATGTGCCAGTCGGTCATATTTGGAAGTTTGACCTTGACGAAACGTTTAGTCTTGATTTTGGGGTGAAATGCAATTTTTCAAAAATTCGAATTGAACATGTAATGCCCAAAATCCTCGCGACAACTGAAAAAATCAGAAATTAAGGTCAGAAGATTCGGATTACAATCGCGGGAAAGTCAAAAATAGCAGCGGTAAATTGCTATTCGCAATTTCCAATACATGATTCGAACGAGAGTAGAGCTGTCTTATTGTTGGCAGAAGACGTAAAGTGATTGCGAGTGGAGATGAAGTAAGCCAGAGTGGACCAGAGTGAACCTTCGGTGGAAAGGTTGGACAGCTGAAGCTGCACAATGGTCCAGATGAAAAACTTGTTTCTTGAGTTAAAACTTGCTTATTTCAAGATTCTCGAGTTAAACTTATTTACCCAATCAATTCTAGAGTTGCTTTATAGTTTAGTTACTATAGTTTAGAGGTCTTGTCGGTATGTGAATACCTAATTTAATTTTCTTGAGTGTGTTTTGTTTTGTTATGTTGAGTAAGGGAGAGTTTTTAGGTTGATCCATCTGAAATGGATCAAAGCTTCACTGTCTAATAAAAAGTAATTATACATAAGGTTACGACCCTGTTTTTAACAGCGTATGTGTATTTTAGGTGTTTTGAGAACTGAGTATGGGGGCGTTCATGTTTTCTAGAGTGTGGGGGTGGGGGTATTTTGGTGTTGCCTTTAAGCTGTAACGCGGGTTTCAGTCTCATGTCGCCAGTGAACCGAATTAGCTCCGACCGCTTCAGGTAGAAAAACACAAGAGATAGTGTCCCTGACTCTTGAGCCAATGGTTATAGGGCCTATTTTTCTTTAACCTCATATGTGACTTAAGTAGGCGACTGTTACAATTTTTCTTTAACCTCATATGTGACTTAAGTAGGCAACTTTTATATCTTAAAATAGTTTGCTCCACTAAGAGTTTGTCAAGTTACAACTACAAAGCGTGTGTTTTTGTAGCGCTTCTCGAAAAAAACGCTGCTTCTTTCTGCAAAGCTTAAGTGCCGCTAGTGACGCGAAACTGTTCTACCAAACAGTGAAGAATGTGATCAAGGGACAAATTAGTCCCAAGTTTAAGCAAGTTAGCTTACTAAGAAATTTTTGAAGCTATTTGAAGAGTACTGAAGAAAACGCGAGCGTATGCTTATTTTTGTACAAAATCTTGAACTCTGTCTAGGATGTAGCAGCAACTGAAGGAACTTTTTCAATAAGTGAAAGAAATTCTCGTGGAAATCTGTGCATGTTGGTATAAAGAAAGTCACGAACTTGTATAACGAAGAAGCTTCTTCACTGTAGCAGCCATACACGACTGGAACTCACTACCAGAGTTCACGGTAGCGTTCACGTCAATTTCTTCAAATCGAGGCTAGATAAACACTGCTGGCTCACATTTCAACCAATCTGATCAACGTGGACAAATATTGGAAGAAAAGCGGAATTAATAAATTTGAGACAAATTAATCGAAAAGGAGAACATCATAAGCTGATCGATAGAGGCGACAAAACACCTAAAAGATCAGAAAAAAAACTGAACTACTCAAATCAAGAAGATAAATTTAGAGGCATGACATAGAATTTTTTGGGTCCTCAAATTTTGCTGCTAAACAATTACCTGTTGACCCAGTTTTAGATTTATCATAAAAGTCTAACTCATGAAACATTCTCAAAGTTTGCAGTGCTCTAAAAATAAATAATGTTTCTCTACACTTCGATTTGGAAATTGTTTCAAAATATGTACTTAATTAGACGAACTTTTCACTGATGCGAAAGCTCTCCAAATTAGACATCCAAAACAGAAGAATTCCGAAGTAAACGAGGAAGTTAAGCAATTCGATAAACTAATGAGTACAGGCAAAATATCTGCCGCCATTGGCTGCCTTTCAGACAAGAAAACAAAAAGAGTACTTCCCCTAAACGAAACCTTTGATTGAAAAACAACCCTTAGTATCCTGAAAGAAAAACACCTTCAAGCCAAAACAGCGAACACTAACTATATAACTGAAATAAGTGAAGACACAATACCATACCACCCCTCTATATTCGAACAAATAAACGCCAAGACAGTTCGAAATCAACCCTGAAAACGCACGAAAAACACGGTCCCTCAGGTCCAGATGCGTGCGAATGGCGAAGTATATTAACTCACTTCAACCAGACATCCATTGAGCTTTGCAAAACAATTGCTAAACAATCCTATACAATAGCAACTAAAGTTCTCCACAAGGAAACCCTAACGGCGCACAATTCGTGTCGCCTGATACCTCTGGACAAAAATCCAGGGGTACGGCCCATTGGTATAGGCGAAGTACTGAGAAGAATAATTGGCTAAACAATCACCTAATGTATAAAACCAGACCTTAAAATTCTCGGCAAAAATTTCCAACTGTGCTTAGGCCAGAAATGTGGAATCGAATATGCTATCCACAGCTTGAGGAACGAGTTTGAGAAACCGGAAACGGACGCCATACTACTTTTTGATGCAGAAAATGCCTTCAACTCGCTCAATAGAGAACTTGCTCTAAAAAATGCAGAAATCCTTTGTCCGGCGCTAAATCATGCGCTGGCCAACTCATAAAAACCTCCCTTAAATCTATATGTCAATAACACGGTTTTGGCATCTTCCGAAGGCACAACGCAAGGTGATCCCCTCGCAATGGTTAAGTACGGAATTGGGATAATCCCACTAATTGTGCTCCTGCAAAAACCAAAGGTCACCCAAAATTGGTACGCAGATGATGGAAGCGCTGCAGGTGATCTTAAGAGTCTCCGCGCAATACTGGACAACCTGGATACAAGGCTTCCAGATGCAATGTGAAGCCTTCCAAGTGTCAACTCATAGTGAAAGAAAACAGCGCCATTAAAGTATTCAAAGGCGCAAATATTACAATGGTAAACGGTTTTAGCGTCCTTGGATTGGTTATAGGAACACCATTAGCATGCGAAAAATACATAAAACCAAATTGAAAAAACAGCTACTCTACCTGAAAAGCTTTCCGAAATAGCTAAAGAATCACCACAAAATGCGTACTCCTGCTACACAAAGGGAGTTCAAAATAAATAAAGCTTTCCAACCAGAACAATTCCGGAAGCTTTCAAGAAAATGGATGAAAATGAGAAAAACGTAAGACATCAGCTACTTTCTAGTTTTTCTGGTAAAAACCATATAACCGATGAAGATCGCAAATTTTTGCACTACCACTAAGGATGGGAGTATTAGCCCTCTACAGTAACACGAACTTTTCCAGAAATTATGAGTCGTCACAAGCCATTTGTGATCCGTTAGAAAACAGTGATCCAGAAATAGCTTAAACGGAACAAACTCTGATAAATAGAAACATCAAAACTGAGAGTCAGAACATCACACTCTCAAAAAAGGCTTAAATTTTGGAAAATTGCTCATCAGAAAAAAAACTGACAATAAATCTAGCGTCACAGAAAGGAGCATCCAATTGGCTAAGCGTGCTACCCTTAAAAACATACAATTTTTCCCTCAACAAATCAGAGTTTAAAGATGGATTACATCTGAGATATGGATGGGAATCACCAAACACCCCACGTTCATGCCCATGTGGACAACCGTTCTTACTGACCCACTCTCTACGCTGTCACAAAGGTGGATGCACCCACCTAAGACATAATGAAAATCGCGATACCTTCGAGACACTCCTGGAGGAAGTATGTCATGATGTTGAAATAGAGCCGAAAATTCAATCGTTGAAAGGCGAAGAAAGCTTTCACAACAAAACAACCACTACTGAAGATGATGCTCGACTTGACATCAATGCAAATGGACTCTGGGGAGGCCGATTCAGCCGAACCTATTTCGATGTAAAAATTTTCAACCACCATGCTAAATCCTGCCTATAAACTATATCTGACGTCTGCAAATATCATGAGAAGTGTCAAAACATTAAAATACCAACAAAGAATTCTGGATGTGGAACACAGCAGCTTTGTTCCACCAATTTTTGCTTGTACCGAAGGAGCAGCACCAGGCTCTACAAAAACCATCCAGAAACTAAGCGAGAAACGGAACGAATCATTCTCGGACACAATAAACTTTATGAGAACAAAAGTAACATTTGCACTTCTGAGGAGAGCAATCCTCTGCCTTAGGGGGTGCAAAAATCTTAAAAATACATCCAACATAGACAATTCTATCTGTGCTATAATCGAGGAGGGTAGATTTTAATTGACAATTCTCTCGATGCATTAATATCGACTTGATTTTTTCATAAATTTTGCCGATGTATTTATATAGCGTTGGTACGGCCCTATCCAACTTGTGCACGTACCGTCGCATGACGGAAGGGCCCATTTTAACTTAATGTGGTTTCTTTTAGTTCTGTGACATTTCTCCAACTAATCATCGGCTGTTTCCACATAACTTTTACTGATCTATGAATTGTCTACATGTTGCCCCTAAAACAATATTCGCTAGTCTATCGCCGCCTCATGATATTATTTCACACTGATTGCCTTCATGCTTTTTCTTGTTTTAGATTGGATGCTATATAGTTTTTTTGTGTGCAATGCTTCCTCAGTCACTGTTGTCGACTTCTTTCACTAAATTTGTTCAACCCTAATTTGCCTTTCGGCTGTTTGAACCCACTTCGAATTTCAACTGTGGCTTACCTGTGCAGCTGTGGCAATAATTTGACCTGTGAATGTACTAGCCGACTGGCTCTCAAGGGTCCCTCCCCAACTGGCTCGTTTCAGCTTAGAAATCCGAAACCGCGCGCACCACAAGTGGGCTTGCTGCGCACTGCACCGCGTCGGATGCTAGGCAGGCTCGGAAGGTTAGTAGCCACCAATGTTGAATTCATTTCAAACTAAGGTTCGTTTTGTTTACATGAAAAGTTATCGTGCTAAAATTTCATCTCGGCGTATGTATGATTTTTTTTGCGTTCCATTTATTGAATAATTTATTATTTGAGTTAATAAAAAGTACCCCATGAAAGTCATTATCAAACTTGAATGATTCGCGCGTTAATTCAAGTTTGATTTTTTTGCCGGTCGGATATTCAAGATTATTTGCTAAAAACAAAGCTAATTTTGCTTTCCTTCCAGGAAATTTCAAATGACTTTGTTTCGAAAGTGAATTTTTAGTTTTTAGATTTCCCAGCGAAATGAAAAAATACTTCAAACCTCTTTCTCTTATCTATACCATATTTAAATGCGTGTGACACATGTCTTGCCATGTTTAAGTGTTTTTTTTGGAACAGATTTAGTGTTTGTTCCACCGAGTCAAAAGTTAGCAACATAATTGTGGGAAGCTGAAACAGTTCCCTCGGGGTTTGCGAATTTGGTCTCCAAATATGACTACTCAAATCTTTTGAGCTTTCGAGATCTGACATTTTTGCGATTTTTTCAAAAAAAGTTGTCAGAAAACTTAAATTTAATATTTGTTTTCCATATTTTGAAATTCCCAACCCCTTAGTTGGGGGCTGTCAGAGTACTCGAAGGGGTTGCGAATCTCGCCTCCTCATTTGACTGCTCAAGTCTTTGTAATTTTCTAAATCTGACGTTTTTATGGTTTTCAATTTGAAATTCCTAACTCTGTAGTTGGGTGCTGTGAGACTCTCAGGAGTTGCAAATTTGCATCCAAATGCGACTGCTCAAATGCGTTTAGTGTCCACGTTTTTTCAATGTCATTTTAAACTTTTTCGATAAAAGCTTAGAAAAATTTGAAATTACGAACCCTGTTATTGGGTGCGGTCAGAGTACACTCTAAGCTTGTAGAATTTTTTCTTGATATATGCGGTTGTTTTATGAGTTCTCTAAAATTCGAAGCACTGAAGGTGCGTTACACACTTGTTAGTTTAAGATTAATGAGAAAAGTGTTGAATGGAAAACGGAAAAGCGATCAAACGTGGAATTTTTTTAGCACATGTTTCCCACATACGGTTGAAATTTGACCCTAAGTGTTTGTTTTTGGACTTTTTCTCTAGATAATGATCCATTAAAAAACTGTCGATCAATGTATTCAATTTATTGAAACAACAAAATAGCATAATTTTTAACTAAAATTTAAAAGAAATAAAGTCAAAAGCTTTTGGAAGATCTAATATAGCTGTATCAACTTCTTTGGGATCGATTTCTTTTAGAATTCTTAGATAACGCAGAAAAGCGCATCTTGTATGGAAAGTGTTTTGCAAAATCCAAACTAAAAGGAAGTTTTTTTAAGATGTTTTCGAATTGTTTTGTGATGAACGCATAGAAAATTGTCTGGAATGTTATTGAAATTGGTTGATAATGCAAATGTTGAAATTGGTTGATAATGCAAATGTTGAAATTGGTCGATAATATTTTTGCAATTTTGTCGATCCACCCGGTCATCTTTTTGGAGTATGAGTTTTCTTTTGCTTTTTTCAGTGGTGAGAAAAATTTTCATCATGTATACAGTCTTGAATAACAATCGGTACAATTATTGAATGAGCATCTGATGTATCTTGTATCCCAACAGAATTTAAGAAGAGTTTAATCTTCTAAGTTTGGCATAGAAATTTTCTTATTTTGAACAATTTTTTTATTTTAAAAATAATTTTTAGCGTTTGCGGATTTTTTTTGGAAATTAATCCCTTTAATTAAGATGCTCAATTTGGTATAGTTTTGTCAGCAATTGACTCCGTACTTTTTGCGTTACGTTAGATTGATTAAAAATAGCCGAAATTAAACAGTTTTTGAGAAGAATTTTTGCGTTTTTTTGACAATTGTCATGCCATTTTGAGAAAAACGCGTTAAACGTTTCTAATTTGAATCGTTGTGTTCAGATAACGTTTTAAAAAAAGTCAATCAATTTTGTTTAGTTGTTGTCATTCACCCCACTTTTCTAATGTTCTGTTGGCTATGTTGTTATTTTTTCGGCTTCTATTGTTTTTTTTCTCCATTAATTTATTGATCTTTTGTTTTACCTCTTTTTCTGGTTGTTTAGGTATGTTTGTAGTCCGTTTGGACAAAATGGGTGCTCAATCAACAACGAGGAACGCCTTGCGGCGTCACACAGTAAAACACTGGACAAAACACTCAGAACGGAAGGAGAGAGAGCGAGCAAAGAGGTGAAGCTGCTCCTTTTAGGAGCGGGCGAATCAGGAAAGAGCACAATAGTTAAACAGGTAAATCAACCATCTAGATTCGCCGAAAATTTAACTGATTCCATAGAATTTTCCGATGTGACCTTATTTGCTCTTAATTGTACCGGAGTATTTCTAAGTCTAAGAAACGACCTCCAAGCGCACCAATGAAGTATGATGAATATTGCCTTTTCAACTGTACCCAAAACCCCTCCCTCACTTAACCCTGCAGGACTTCGGCCGGTGGATGCCACGAAGTTCCTAGACCTAGAGACGGACTATTATAACCGGACCCGGGGCTCAAACAACAACAAAATGAATATTGCTATTTTTTTTAGCAATTAAGGAAGTGTTTCAGTTTTTTTCGATAATTGAGAAACAGTGCTTAAACATTCTGTCTTATTCAGAAGATATTTAATTTTATTTGGTTTTTATTTAATTCTGATGTTTTAGGGTTTTTGCTAAACTTACTAAAAGGTTTAAAGGGTAGAGGTTTATTGTGCTGTGTTTAGATGCGTATCATTCACGAGTCCGGCTACAACGAGGACGACTGTCTCAAGTACAAGCCAGTTGTGCACAGTAACACCATCCAGAGTCTAGTCGCCATCATTAGAGCCATGAGTCACCTAGGTCAGTCACAACTACTTTTTTTTTACTTAAGTCCCAATTGGTAGGCAGATTCTTAAGCGTGAAAGAACGAAGTGATGTTCAAATTTTAAATCAACTTTTTTTGTTGTTTTGTTCTTTTTCAACAGTCTGTTTGCTATGTTCTTGAATTTTTCATTTAAAATTCGTCGAAAGTTTTTTTTCTTTGGAGTTGGATTATAGTTGTAAAGCAGATTTTGTGAGATTTTTGTCATGTGGCTATGCGAAGTGCAACTTGACTTGTTTGTTAATTCTGGGTGTGAATAACTATCTGTTCACTAGGAATCAAGTTCAACAACCTGCAGACGGAGGACGACGCCAAAGAGTTCTTCATCATGGCCGCCAACCCAGAAATCAACCAGGAGATGTGTGCAATCATGAAGCGACTCTGGGAGGACCCAGTTAGTAGTATAAAGTTACACCAGAGTTCGTGATTACACAAGCAAAGCATAGTGTGATTGTACGCTTTAACTTTTTTCCAACCCAGTTAATAGTATAAAGTTACACGAGAGTTCGTGATTACACAAACAAAGCATAGTGTGATTATACGCTTTAACTTTTTTCCAACCCAGTTAATAGTATAAAGTTACACGAGAGTTCGTGATTACACAAGCAAAGCATAGTGTGATTGTACGCTTTAACTTTTTTCCAACCCAGTTAATAGTATAAAGTTACACGAGAGTTCGTGATTACACAAGCAAAGCATAGTGTGATTGTACGCTTTAACTTTTTTCTAACCCAGTTAATAGTATAAAGTTACACGAGAGTTCGCGATTACACAAGCAAAGCATAGTGTGTTTGTACGCTTTAACTTTTTTCCAACCCAGTTAATAGTATAAAGTTACACGAGAGTTCGTGATTACACAAGCAAAGCATAGTGTGATTGTACACTTTAACTTTTTTCCAACCCAGTTAATAGTATAAAGTTACACGAGAGTTCGTGATTACACAAGCAAAGCATAGTGTGATTGTACGCTTTAACTTTTTTCCAACCCAGTTAATAGTATAAAGTTACACGAGAGTTCGTGATTACACAAGCAAAGCATAGTGTGATTGTACGCTTTAACTTTTTTCCAACCCAGTTAATAGTATAAAGTTACACGAGAGTTCGTGATTACACAAGCAAAGCATAGTGTGATTGTACGCTTTAACTTTTTTCCAACCCAGTTAATAGTATAAAGTTACACGAGAGTTCGTGATTACACAACCAAAGCATAGTGTGTTTGTACGCTTTAACTTTTTTCCAACCCAGTTAATAGTATAAAGTTACACGAGAGTTCGTGATTACACAAGCAAAGCATAGTGTGATTGTACGCTTTAACTTTTTTCCAACCCTAGTCGCTAATACAAGTGCTAATTTTCGGTGGCAGTTTTAAATCTCGAGCATGAACCTCTTTTGAACCTCGTTTATGAATGAAGGTGATATACTTATTAAGAGTCAATTAACCTATCTCAGACGCTTATATAGGTCGTGATGATTTTTTTTTTCATTTTTTTTTTCAGGAAAACTCTTTAGGGTCAAATTTGCTTTTTCGCGGTTTTAATTCTGATTTCTTTTTTAGTTCAGTTCTTTTCCTTAGTTAAAAGGAAGAGAAACTCCCCTATCGAACAGCAAAAGTGCAAAGGTCACGAAAAATATGATCGACTCCTAGTTTCGAAAGTGGAATTTAATTTTCAGATTTCCCAGCAGAGAAAAATACTTTACCTTTTGATCCAGTTGTCTCAAATTGGGTTACAAAGTATCAATCATAAATTGTTCTGGAAATTCAAAGAGCTTGAAAGCCATATATATATTTTTTAGAAATTTGATTTTAAGTGCCAATGAATGAGTGGAATACAGTCCTTTAGGTGGCGCAGTGTTTTAAGACCCAATTCGTAAATATGTTCGCGCTCAAGTTTGATTTTTGTTGGTTAGATTTTGATTCCTGAAGATTAAATTCACTCAAAAATTTGGGTTATTTCTCGGATTGCTTGAGATAATTAGTACTTTTCTAACTGAATGTTGCTCTGTTTTTTGGCATGTCAATCATTTCGGCGCTTCTGTTTTTGGTTTTGCTTCATGACTGTTCCTAAGCCCTAAAGAAGTAGGAAGAAATTATGTTTGGCCAACGATGGTATTTTCTCAATCAGTTAGAGGTTTCAGCTACGCTTAAAGGATTTTGACATTTTGTAAGACGTTTTTTTTTGTCTATAATACTATTTTTTTGGTGATTTTTCAAATTAAAAATGAGCAAAAAAGTAAAAAAAAAAAAAGTAAGTAAGTATATACTTTTTTTCTGCTCCCTGTAAAATTGTTATCGAGGTTGGTAGAAAAATAATTATTTGGATGTGTTTTCAAGATTTTGGTTTTCTGTGAAAAGTTTGTTTTTGTCCGAAGTAGCACGCGATTACAGTAGGAAAATTATCCCTTCTCCTCAAGATAATGACTCGGATTGCCTATTGCTAGTGTTTTAGGGAATCTGGGACTTGGCGAAAAAATTTGTTTTCAAAACAGTGCTCCATGTTGTTAAAAGGTTAAGGAAAAATCCCTCATGCGCGAAGGACCGAATGCGTAAAGTTTTTATTAAGCCAATCAGAATACAGTATTCAAAAAACAGACAGAACTAACATTGAAACTTAGTCAGTTTTGGACTGTTCTAAGGACGCTGATTGGTTGAAATTTTTCGCTCATTCGTTTCCTCGCGAATGAGAACAAGCACGAAAGTGAACCCGTCTCTGTTTCAGGACCTGCAGAGTTGTTTTCTGCGTGCAAGAGAGTACCAGCTGAACGACTCTGCCTCCTACTATCTCAATGCACTGGAGAGAATATCCACCCCTGACTACATACCCACAGTGCAAGATGTACTCAGGACCAGGGTCAGTTTCCTTCATCTCACACATTCACATTTATAGTTAAAATTAAACTTGTGAGCGTAGTTTATTAGTATGAATCTACATATTTAAAGAGTCATGAACGTAGTGAATCTTCTTATATAGGTTTTGGTTATTTTTTTTGTTTTTTTTTCAGGAAAAATTTGTTCAGGCATAAATTTGATTTTTCGCAGTTTGATTTTTCTTGTTCTAAAAAATTTTCTTGTTCTAGATTTTTCTTGTTCTGTTATTGATTATAACTTATTCTAGAAATTCAAAGAGCTTTAAGGCCATATATTTTTTACTTTGAATTTCGGAAGTTATTCAATAATTAAAGTTAGTATGTTTTTCTTTCCTTACGTTCATGACTAATTTCCAACTGTGAGTTGGCTATGTTTTCAACCTAACTCGCAAAAAAGTACTCATTTGGTGGCACTTTTGCGATAATAACGATCTGCAGAAGCATAGCAGATATCATTGCACCTGTTATCTACTCAGTCAAGTGTCCGTGGCTGAGATGAAAGGGCGTTATACTCTCGAGGTCGTAGGTTTGATTCCAGCATAAAGCGAAAGTTTTACTACTCCAGGCTTATTTTTTCTATTTCATTACTTAGAGCTGCTTTTTCTCACTTGTGTAGGTGTTGATTTTATTGTATCAAGTTAATTCGTTCACACTCAATTTTGATTAAGCGCGGTTTTTATCAGATTTCCTAGCGAATTTTTTAAAATATATTGAGCCAGTTTTCTCAAATTGTGTTAATTTTATCATAAAAGCACCAATCATTGTTTGTGAAATTCAAAGAGCTTTAAGGTCATATGTATATATTTGCGAAATGTGAAAGTTTAAGTTTTTTCATAAAGAAGTCAATTTTTTGTTTCCTTGTGTTTATTATTTTTTATAACTTGTAGTAATTCATAACTTTGACTTGGCTGTGTTCACTGATTTTCATATTTAAAAAGCCTGCTCAAAAAAATTTGTCATGATAGAGAGCTTCAAAAAGTTGGAAAAGACAGAAACAATTCAAACGTGCAATCTGCTAATTTTGAGCAAATTTTGCATGCAAATCTGAATTTCTTGGTGACTTTGTGACATACTTTTTGTCTGAAAAATTAGCTTTTGCTTGCCTTATTTTCTGAAATTGTTCATTTGCTCTTTTTAGTTAATTTTGTGCGTTCAGCGTTTTACAACTCTATAATGCTAAATTGTTGGCAATATTGGTGACCTTGAGCGCTTCAATCAGTCAGAAAACCCAAGCATTTTAGTTTAATTAATTTTGAACACGGGTTTTACGTGTAGAAATCAATCATAAAGTAAAAACCAAAGTGAATTTCACATATAGGTCCTGATTGTTTTTTAGGTTAAAATCAAAATTTTGAGTTATCGTGGTTTCTGATTTCTTAAGTTCATCGGCAAAATTGCAAAGGTCACGAATATTTTCAATGATTTCTAGTTTTGAAAATGGACTTGAGTTTTCTGAATTTCCAACGGATAATTTTATGAAAAAAGCCAATAAAACAATTCATGAAATTCAGAGAGCTTTAACTTGATTTTTTTCCCCTGAAAGTTGAGAACTGTTCAAAAGTTTTTCAACCATTGGTTTGCTGTTATGTATTTGAATATCGAATCAAGACTGAAAGGGCTTGATTTTGGATAATCAGTCGATCTTTTGCGGTGTGTTTTTGGGTCAGCAGAGGGTCGAATCCCTGGGTGAATTTGCCACCTGTTGTTATATATCACAATTGTGCATTTATCTGATTTCCTTTCTTCAGAAGAGTTTTTTTGGGATCCATCTACGTATTGCAGAAGGGATTTTGAATTTCTTTATTATCTATTTTGAGTAAAGTTTTGAATTGGAATGTAGATTTATTCCACCCCATTGGAGTTTCCTTAAAATTTTTTCAGCGAGTACAAGTTCAGCGAAGATTGGGAAAAATAGTTGTTTATGATGTCACAGAGGCTATTCTTAGAAATCAATTGTGAAATTTAAAAAGATTTACTAGTGTATCGCAATCAAGAGGTTGGCGGTTCGAGGTTCACAAGGAAATGTGCTGGTTGCTTAAAGTTGAAGCAACATTACCCCCATCAAGGTCAAAAAAATCAAAATAGCTGCACGTTGAGTCTGATCATATGTAAAATAGTGGTTGTCCTCTTATTAGAGGTGTGTTTATTTTCGTCCTTTACCCCCGAGGAAAGATGGCCTTTGAAACAGATAATTTAAAAGGTGAAAGCCTGTTGAAATTCAAATTACACACTTCGCAGATCAGGGCTATTCAAATCAACCGTCAGGCGAAATTTTGAAAATGAAACATAAAATTTTTAATGCCAAAAATATTAGCATATGCTTACCAACCACTTGAAATATAATTGCATATAATTTTTCATAAAACTTCTCAATCTTTTCTGGGAATTGTTTTTCTAAAAGGCCATACGGTATGATAAATTGTATTCGAATGTGTACTGATTGTCAAGTAATAATGATGATACGCTTCATACAAATCTGAAAGGCTGAAAATCTAAACGAGTTGTAACGAATGTTGAAGCAGTCATTGAACTGTGTACTGCTCAGTTTTCAATACGAATGAAATGTTTGTAGTCTTGAATTAGTTAAACCTATTTAGTTGTACATGCAATTAAATTGAAATTGTTCTTAGAGAAGATTCAATTTACTAGGCCAGCGCTTCGCTTGAGTATGAGCCGCAACAAAAATAACCGTTAACTTTTCCTAATTTTAAACTTGAATTTACAACCTTATTTTTAACCGTTTATGACAATAATGGAATCAGTTTATAACTATCAGAGTACTAATATCGAATTGAATCGTCGGTTTTTGCATACGTCGGTTTTTGCAAAAAATAAATACGAGGCGTCAATATTAAGCCTATTTGTTTCTGAATATATCTTGGGTATGTGAACCGATTGTTTTATGTCTCAGTATCAAATCATTCATAGAGGCCTCTCATGATTGTTGAGTTACGCAAGTGTAAAAAAATGGCCATGTTGTGCAAAGTAGCTCAGATTAAAAAACTTGGGCAGCCGGTATCTCTGTAAGTAGCACAGAACTTTCATGTAACTTTGAAGTTTTCAAAAAAACTTGTTTTTCAGTTGGTACTAAACAATCAATACAAGAATAGCCGGCTGCAGTGAATTAGCATAGATATTACTTACCAGTTCTTTTATTAAAAAGAATTTAAAATTTTTTCTTCAATTTTTGTCGATGGTCTTGTGCGTGTGGGATGGTGGAGGCACTAAAAGATAGCTCAAAACAATTGACCTATGTATTAATTAACATATAATAATAAAACTTAAGCACCGTTCAATCGCTTTATTGAATCAATATAAAAAGTGATTTTTGAACTCTCGGAAAGTTCTTGTTTCGAGATGAGTTCATTTTGCAAATTTAAGAAACGGAAGAAACGAAAAAGACCTTGAGAATTTCTTTCCTTAAGACTTCAGATAATAAGATGCTGCCGTTTATACTTAAGAACAGTTATTTGTTCGAGTTGAGGTCATTTTGTAAATTTAAAGGATAAATAATCTTGGTTAAAGACTTCAATTATTAAACTGCTGCCGCATAAAAATATGAAAGTTAGTATTTTTCGTAGTCTTCGTTAAGTGTTCGGTTTATTACGCGCCTAAAATTAAAACCCGTTATAAACAGGCTAATTTTTTCCCCCATTTTCTCATGTCTTTCTAATGCATCAGGTTCATCAATGGTGAAGAGAAGATCATTGTTCTCTCTAATTTTTCTTTTCTGTCTTAAATGTCGCGCTAAGTTCTGTTGCCGAGCGTTTTGCTTTATACAAACCAAATTTTCGGCTTATGTCTGCTTTTTTTGTCGGCATGTTTTCAAAAGCGCGTACTTTTTTGAAGGTTTGACTATTTCGCAATGCTGTCTTTTTTCTCATTTTCCAAGATAATGGAGTTACAAGATTTTCTGACGCTGACTTTTTTGAGTTTTATGTTTTTTTTAAGTTTTGTCAATTAATTTTACGCGCCTTTATAAGAAATCAGTCAGTTGGGTCTTGGGTCATAAATTGTCGTAACTTCTGATGACAGACCTTTAGAGACACACAGGTTTTCCCATTTAAAAAAAAATAAATCCTACGCGTGATTGGGTTCGTCAAACGCATTTTGACTTGTAGATATGTATTAGTGAATGATTTTTTGTTGCTCTTTTCACTTGCTAGAGCAAGTGTACTTCTAGACGTACTTTTTTCGGTGAAAAACTTTTGTTACAAATCTAATTAAATGACTTTGCTTTATTATGGACTCCCTCAATTGGTCACCCAATTTCGAAATCTTGGGGTCGAGTCCCTGGAAGACCTTGTTTTTCTTCAACATGGAATTTGATTTTTGTTTTCGAAATTTTGAATTGTGGACTATCGGTTATATAATTATTTTGCCAGCTTACTCTGATTTCGTTTAATTTCCGTGTTATTTTCCCTTTTTTTCTCTTAAATGGTTTAGGCCTGTGCTATATTGACTTATTTTCCTAATTTTGCATTTCATTGATTTATTGATTTTATAGCTTCGTGTGTTTCAGGAGCACTGGGGCGTAAAAATTGATTATAGCTCAAAATTGTCTATGACAAGATTGTTTTTGGCTCAAAACGCGTCTAAGTTTTTTTGGCTTAATTTCTGCTCGATAAATGATTTTCAATGCTTACTTAACGGTAGTGATTGTGTTTCTTTACAAGTGTTCCTCAAATGGAACTTCATTTGAGACAAGTGTGTTGATGTTTTCTTGATGGTTTTTTCTTTTTTTTTTTAAATAATTCCTTCGACTTTTCTTCTCATTTTTTGACTGCTAGACTACAATGCTATTTTTAAGTTGTTTTGTAAGTGTTGTGAAGCTGCACTTTGCCTCTGTGTGTTAAACTTGAAATTCCGAAAACTATGAAATGCATGGCACTTTTTTTTGTCTTTTTATAATTATGTGTCTGTGGCGTTTAATTTTGTATCGCAAGGGTTACGAAACTGTAGAATTGCGTTAATTGCCTGTCTAAAGCTGATGAGCTGCTTGAATTTTCTTTGGTTTCTTTCCACTTAACATTTTTCTGAAACCTTCAAATCTCTGGAAGTTTTAAAGCTTGATTGAATTCTGATTAAAAGGGCTTCAAAATGGCGAAATATCAATCTCATCTGACATTCGTCTGTGTTGTCTGACGCAGCGTGAAAAGTTATTATTTTATAGTAGTATTGTCGCAATCAGGTTACATAGTGTGTTTTTGGGTGAAGACGACTGAGACAACTGAAAAGTCATAAATTTATTTTGATCTGATCCACACGCGCTGCAAGTTATAGTATCCAAAAAGCTATTCATGTTATTTTAAGTTCAAACGTTCTCTCATATTTCTTTTTCAGGGGTTTTTACGGCGGAAAATTTTTAGTTCGGCGGCTGATTTTCTTGAAAAGGATTGAATTCTGCCTTCCCAACATAGGATGAAAATTGCGGAAAGATTTCTATTCGAATTCACCATGATTACAGGAGCAAACGCTGGCGTATTAATGCGGTTACATTTATTTTCTAGCATAACTTGCACAAATAAGTGATCAACTTTTGAGCTCATTTTTACCTGTTTTATCCGCAGCTTAAGAATAGCTTCTATCCATTTTTATTAAAGCGCTATCCAAAGCGGGATGGTGATTCGAATCCCGTAGCCGACTAGTTCTTGTAACACTTTTTTAATTATGTTAAGTTTTTTAATTTCATTTTCGTTTTTTCCTTGTAATCAGGGGCGGATCTAGGATTTTCTCGAGGGGGGGGGGGGGGGCGGATTTTCAAAAATTTTTAAAAAGTTTTGTCGACCTTTTTTTTAGGTTGACCGAATTGATTTTTCGAGTTCTCCCTAAGCACCGTTTAGTCCCTGTTTTGGCCAAATTTTCTGCGCCGCAGGCAAAATTTTGAAAAACAGCCCAAAAAAGTGTTTTTTGGTAAATTTTGACCAAAAAATTGCGTTTTTTTTTGGCGCGCGCTCACCCATTAAAATTAGTATATACTGGCGCCAAAGGCGCCTTTAGAAAAATTTTAGGGTCGGTCGGCCAAAAATGGATTTCTTAAAAAGTACCAAAGGGGGGACCCTTTGGGTCGGCAGGGGCGTCCGCCCCCTTCCTAAATCCGCCCCTGCTTGTAATATAAAGCTCCTTTATGCCAATTTTTTGTTTATGCTTACGAAGTGCAGCTTCGCCTCTGTTTGAATCAATATAATTACTTGTGTGTTTTTGTTTGTGATTAGGTGAAGACAACCGGGATAGTGGAGACTCGATTCCTGTTCAAGACACTCAGCTTCAAAATGATTGACGTGGGCGGACAGAGGAGTGAGAGGAAGAAGTGGATCCACTGCTTCGAAGGTCAGTCCACTATCTTTTCTTTGTGAAATCTTAAAGTGTTCATACTTATCCTAATTTTCGTGAGGCGACCATTTGTAACAGTAAATAGTTTGTTACAATAGATTAAACAGCTTGATTGATTGAGATGCACAATTCCACTCCTGCTAAATATAAGCGGAGCAAGCGGTCGCTACTGGCCGAAGTTTTGTCACAAATTGTCGCCCATTGCCTAAGTTAAGATAGGGGATCGGCCTATTAGCATGTGTGTCAATTAGCATTCCAATGTAAATGAATGCATTTGGCTCGCTCGCTAAATCAAGGTTTCTTTGCTGAAATTTGTTTACTAAATTAGAAAACAATTTGCCGAATGACTTATTCGGCAAAAATGAAATATTAATTTCCTGACCTAATCAAGTATTTTTTTTCGATTGAAAGAAAATTTACGCATATTTTTTTAGACTGAATGAGCACCAATATAAAGCAACTAGCGCATGATGATTGACACACATGCTAATCGCTACAGTCTAATTTAGATAATAGTGGGAAATATTTATTCAGTATCTTCTGGTATTTTGAAGAATTGGCTCTAGTGATTCGAGGGTGTCAATTTTTTTTTTAGCTGTTATAGATTTCAATAAGCGCAACGACTCTCTCTCTCTCTCTCTTTTTTTTTCTCTCTCTATTAGATTTCTGTGATCGACTTTTTAAAAAGTTTTTTATGAACAGTATTGTGAATAAACGTTGGTGCTGAAAATTATTTGCAGAGATTTTTTATCACTCAAGCATAGCTAATGTTAAATCATCATAACCTTTTTATTCCAAAATTCGCTCATTTCAATTTGCTTGTGTGTAAATTAATGTCTTAATATCATTTATTTAAGTTGTGGTTTTCTTTTTTGTTTAGGAATAATTCTAGAGCTAAAGATTTTTTTGTAGGTAAAAAAACTTGTTGACAGAATCACTGAATCATTTTCTCACATCCGAGTTTTGTCAATCAACCGACATATTTTGAGCATGTATGCGGAGTAAAAAATACCGATTGATCCAGTTTTCTCAAATTGGTTTAATTTAATGAAAAAGTGTCAAACATAAATTATTCTAGAAATTCAAAGAACTTTAAGGCGATATAATTTTTTATTTGAAATTTGAAGTTTTTCAAGCAGCAACAAATCAGATTCTTTTTCGTTTCTTTGTGTTTATTGACTCTTTTCCAACTATCTTCGGCTATATTTTAAGCTCTGCCATTTCACATTTATTCCTTACCCAATCGAGCTTGAGAGCTTAGTCTTAGTGACAGTGTTAAAGTTTGTTTTCACTCAATTTTTCTATTTGCAACTCGCTTTTTAAAATCTTTTTGAAAGTGTAGTTTTTGGACTTTTTTAAATTATTTTTTGGCTTTGATATCTGTTAATGCTTCTTTTTGCTTGTGTTCCATTAAGTTTCCCAAGTGATTTCTATAAAGATATTTTTTTAGTGTCAATGAACGAAGAGAAGAAACTTGTTAGCTCAAGTTTTCTTTGTTTTGTTTTTCAGGAAAAATTGCACGCTTAAATTTAAATTTTCGTGGTTTGATTTCAAGTTAAATTGCTGAAAGGAAGTCAAATTACGCAATCCAATCCGGAAAATGCAAATAGTGAAAAAATACGTGAATCACATTTATTTTTAAAAGTGAAATTTTAAAGTTTCCCATCGGAATAAAAGAGATACATGTTTACCCAGTCTTCTCTAATTGGGTTATCTTTGTGAAAAAGTGGTACTCATGAAAGATTCTTGACATTTAAAGAGCTTTAAGTCCTGTATTTTCCCGAAAATTAAAAATGTTCAGTTTTTGTAAAGCAATCTTTTTTTCAATAGCTATTTTCAAGTCTAAAAAAAGCAATTTTATGATTGATTCAAATAAATCAAAAAGTTTATCAAATGTTTGTTGTGTAAAAGCGTTTAAAACATATAGTACGTGAAAGTTCAATCAACAACGAGAAATACTGGTGTTAATGTTTGTGTCAGTTTGGCTGGGGAGTGGAGAGTATGGGTTCCTATGGGTTACGTAGCAGTGTTTAGACAACCGCATTTTGAGACTCGTCAGTAAGCAGACAAATACTGTATCAACCAATCAGAATCGATACAAGGAAGAAATGAATAATTAATAATTATTTCGTAAATTTGCTTTCTCATCTCGATTCTGATTGGTTAAAATGGTTTTTGTCTGCTTACTGACGAGTAGGAATACGGGGTTGTCTAAATACAGAAAGCACTTCGTTCCTACGGTGTTTGTGTCCCACAATGTTCTAGTATTTTCCGAATCGAAATTGAAAAAAGATATGGATTTCAAACCATTGTGCTACTTGCACAGCAGCCGGTTGCTTTTTTTGCTGCAAAATAAATTCGTGAGCCTGATGCAAATCTCTATCCAAATGGGCAATCTTAAATACTTTGCTTTGCGTTTAACCAGAACGAAAATAGGAAGAAAGCATTTGATAATTTATTATTGGCCATATTGCGGCAATTTTTGCGGAATTAGTCATGATTATTGATTTTTTTCTTTGATCACCAGTACTTTTTAATTGCAGTTCGTGCCGCTTAGTTTTCTCTTCTGATTTCTTCTAACAGTGTCTAAGTAATGCAAGCCTCGCCTGTGCCATAGAAATTTTGTCCTCTTGAAGTTGTTGCTTCAGTTCCAGTTTGTCAATGTCAAAAAAATTTAATTCGGCATCTAACTGTGCGAGTGGTAACTGCATTTCAAAATCTGTTGCAGTCTTGTTCAATTGTGAAATGTAGTTTCTTTTTTCGAACAATTCCCAAGATAAAAGTATCTGAGTAGCTTTCAATTGATCTGTTGTTTGCTGGAGATATTTTTGACGATCTGCCACATCGGATAGCTGAAAATAATACGTTTTTAATTTCTAAATTGGAAAATGTTCACCATTTTTAGTTTGTGCAATAATTATACGTGCGATATCGACAACTCAAAAAAACCTGACGAAGCTGATATCACTTAACCTTAATTTTTTTATATCAAAATAGATACGATCATTGATTTTCTCTAGTTTAATCAATCTTGAAAGTTTCCTTGGTAAGTAGACAACCGCGTAAACAGACAGTTCATTAAACACTCAAATTTGACAAACTCAAATGTAATTGGCTGAAGCATGTTTTGAAATGATTACGTCTCAAATGGCATAATTCCCAAATGGCATAAAAATTAAAAATTTCCCAAATGGCATAAATTTCATGCAACAGTTGCTTTGGAAAAATCGAGAACAATTTTTTCGTGAACAATGTGAGAAAATTAGCCAAATTGTCAATTGACATTTGTTGATTGACATTTTATCGTGAAAAACTTGTAGAACTTTTTATCAAAAGCAAGAAGCATAAGCATGCGATTATTAATAAGCTGCTTGTGGTCAATTTTTTTTCGACAAATCTGTTGCTTAAATTTGTTTGGAAGCAATTAATTCCAAATCTTGTTCTCATGCTTTCGTTCCTGACAAAATGATAGAATTAGAAATTGATGGAAAACGTTTAAATTACAATGAAAACTTGAAATTTATGCCATTTGGAAAAAGTTTCCATTTTTATGCCATTTGGGAATTATTCCATTTGGGAAGTTACCTTTTGAAATATTTATTCGAAACTGGTTTAAAATTAGTTTTTAAGAGCAATGAACGTAGTGAGTACATAGGTCTTAACGATTTTTTTTTTCAGGAAAGTCTTTAAAGTTTGTTCACGCTCAATTTTGATTTTTCGCGGTTTGACTTGTGATTTAATTTTGAGTTCAATGCATTTCTATTGTTAAAAAAAGACAGGCAAAATCCACTATCGAACTGCAAAAATGTAAAGATCACGAAAAACGTGATCGACTTCTAGTTTCGAAATTGGAAATTAATTATCAGATTTCCCAGTGAAAATAAAAGTTTTGCCTATTGATCCAGTTTTCTCAAATTGGGTTGACAAAAAAGTGTTCATCATAAATTTTTCTACAAATTCAAAGAGTTTTATTTTAAGGCCATCTGATTTTTTCTTCGAAATTGAAAGTTGAAGGTTTTTGAAAAAACAAAGCAGTTTTTTTTTCAGTTTCCTTGCGTTCATTACTCTTTTTCAACTGTCAGTTGGCTATGTTTTCAATTCGATATCAATATTCGATAAGCTATATATTATCAATATTCTGTTGATATTTGAGATTACGTTATGAAAAACCAAGTTGTTTGGAGTTGCCGAAGATTAACATGGTGGTCTTTATTTTTCAAAATTTGCCTTAGATTTAGAGATTGATAAATGTGTCTGCTAACACTGTTGTCTTCTAGCTGCTACGTAACCCAGATTTTGATTCAGCGTTAAAGCATTCTGTGAATGTGCTGCTAAGACGCTTCTTTCTAAAGCTTATCTTTAAGTAGGTAATTTGGGCTCAATTCATAATTCGTCATTGGGTTGATAGCCCAATAAGTTAGTTTTGAGAATATATGTCTTGATTAAATGTTAATGAGCAGTGATTGAATAAATTCCGTTTTTGAAATTTCTTCTCTTCCATTTTTGAAACTTCCTCTTTTAGCTCTTATGTTTTTGTGTGCCAATCAACTTTAAATTAAACACTTACATAGGTCGTGTTAATTTCTTCGATCTTTATAGGAAAAGTCTTAAACATTTTTCACGCTCAAGTTTGATTTAGCGGCTTGACTTTTGATTTCTTTTGAAGGACTTTTCAAATTTATTTGAAAAATGGACGGTTAGTTTTGCAAGCCAATAACAAACTTTGCTGATTTTCTATTGAAAAAAGTTCTGAATATATCAATCATTTTTTAATCTATGGAATTCATTGGCACTTTTTTGGCTCACTTTTAATGGAATCCTTTTTTCTCATTTTTCTCACGATTAACAATCAAACGTGACAGCAATCAAATTGCGTTAGCATAACTGGTGTGAGAATGTTTTTAGCAAATTTTACTGAGTTTTTGTCGAGGCATCGAAGTTACATTAAAAATAGCGGTAAAAATTGGAAACCAATATTTTCATTGTCCTCAATTTTGGTTGTCGATGTTATCAAGTGAAATACGTCGAGCGTTCGTGTAAAACTAAAACAAATTCTAAAGTATGAGTGTTTTTGAAAGAAGATTTTAAAGTTTCAATGGAGGTAGTGGAGACACTTATATTGGTTGCGTTCAGTGTATTGACGTATTGTGAAAAAATCGTATAACCAGAGGCGGATCCAGTGTTTTCGAGGGGTGGGGGGAGGGAGGACCAAATTGATTCGTGAGCTCTCCCAAAACACTAAAAAAGACATTGTTTTCGCCGCATTTTCTGCGTCGCAGGCAAAATTTTTGAAAAACAAAAACAGGCCTAAAAGGCGTTTTTAGGCACTTTTTGGAAAGTTTTGACCAAAAATCGCCTTTTTTCGGCGCGCGCTTCCCCGGCAAAGTTTTTAAATTTTAGCGCCAAAGGTGCATTAAGAAAAATTTCGAAATAGTTGGATATCTCGAAATAGTACAAAGGGGGACCCTTGGGGTCAGCAGAGTTTCGACTCCCTGAGGATGGGGCGTCTGCCCCCCTCCCTCTTAATTCCGCCCCTGCGTATAACTTATAATCGTATAATCCGGTTATCGTATAGCTTTTAATCGTACATTGTGGCTTTCGTATAAAAAATGTATAATCATATTACTTCTCCTTACTCAATTATAGCAACCTCTCAAGGCTTTTACATTGTTTTTTGATGCTCGATTATATTTTTTGCCCGAAAATCTCTGATTGGTCTCAGAAAACTTTTCATGTTGGTGTTGAGCCGTCCCTAATATCAGTCATCTTGCAGTACCTGATGAAACGATCTTTATCTCATAAAAATGAGTCGAAAATTATCGGTTTCGTAAAATCTACCTATTCATCCGGTTTTCTGAAATTGAGTTAATTTTATCAAAAAATGTCAATCGTAAATTGTTTTTGAAGTTCAAAGAGCTGTAAAGCCTTATATTTTTTTAATTAGAAATTGTTAAGTTTAGATTTTTTTCTGAAAACAAGTCAGTTTTTTTTCTGTTTTCTTGCGTTCATTGACTCTTTTTTTTAAAAACTTTTCTGTTGGCTACATCAATCATACATTGATCTTGAAAGTCTAAGAGCTTCAAGGCTATAGTTTTCGGTTTCCTTTTGCTCTTTTTCTTTTGCTATTTTTCCTCTTGCTCCTTTAAATCTGGCTCCTTTCCCCCACCTCTGTTGGGTGATTAATTTATTTAGGTATTTAGAGTCGGTCTACTTTATTTTGTTTTATTCCGGGACAAGTGTAAATGTTTATTCATGGTCATTTTTTTTGTTCTATAAGAGTAATGAACGTAGTGAGTACTCCTTTATAGGTCTTGCTGTTTTTTTCAGGAAGAAGACTAACAGTATGTTTACGCTCAATTTCGTTTTTTCGCGGTTTGACTTTTGATTTCTTTCTAAGTTCTTTTCATTTCTTTCGTTAAAAGGAAGGCAAACTCTTCTATCGAACAGCATAAATGTAAAGGCCACGAAAAACGTGATCGACTTCTAATTTCGAAAATGGAAATTAATTATCAGATTTCCCAGCGAAATAAAAGTTTTACCTATTGATCCAGTTTTCTCAAATTGGTTTAATTTTATCAAAAAAGTGTCAATCATAAATTGATCTACAAATTCAAAGAGCTTTAAGGCCATCTAGTTTTTTTTCTGCGAAATTCAAAAATGGAGGGTTTTCAAAAAACAAGTCAGTTTTTTTTTTCAGTTTGCTTGCGTTTATTGTTCTTTTTCAACTGTCAGTTGGCTATGTTAGACATTTAAATTTTTCGAAATTCGTTATTCGAATTTGTTTATCACGTGGAGTTCAAGTTGTACTCTCTAGTAACAAGTTAAAATGATGTCTGATTTCTAGTTCCGAAACCGGATTTAATTTACTACCTTTAATCCTTTTATTCGTTTTTCTTCCTATTACAAGGTCACATCAACCAAATTTTTTGGTATTGTTTTTCATCAACGTTTCCCATCTTTCTGTTGGATTTAAATTTCTTGCTAAGAAAACTAACCAGGTCAAAGGCTCTGAAGTGCGCTGTTTGCCAGCTTGAGTAAGAGATTGTGAGCAATTCGTCAAGTTGTAGCCTAAGCTTGACGTTCTCCGTTTCCATATTATCATATCTATTTTGAAATCTCTTTGACGTATTTCCCATGATTGCTGCGATTGAGACTATGGATACGAATGATGCAATAATATAGACAAAGAGTGTTATCAGCAGCCAGTTTTGTACTATAGCTCTGCCATGAATAATTCGCTCCGTCAATGTCTGAAATGCGCTACGGTTAGTTTTTCTGCTTTTCTTGATCTGTTTTGAGGTAACTGAATTACAGTCGCGCAGTCGGTAAAACCTGTTCTTGACAGGCAGTTAGGCCAAATACTTTTCCCAAAGCAGCCTTTTTAATTCTCATTATCTGCTATTTATCTTTTTTTTTTATGATTGATCATAGTTTTTTTTGGCTTAGCTATAATTTAGCCGAGAATCGAAGGAAGAATTAAAGCGGTTTTTGTATGTCTATTTGGACATGAAGTCATAGTAAAGATCAGTATTATAATAATCATCATCATAATAATTACACAAGCAAGAAAGCTTGTGTGATAGTATGAACTCTCTTTTTTTTCAACCTAAGTCGCAAATATTAGTGTTCATTTTAAAGTGCTATTTTACTGCAGATCAATAACCAGCGAATAAGTACAGCAATGCTAAAGATATTAACACAGACTATTATATTGCAAATAGCACTTTAGCTTTAAGGTACAATGGATCTGTAGCGTAGAGGTAGAGAAGGAGACCCGCAACAAAATAAGAGGAATCGAACCTGGGCAGGGTCGGATGTTTTAAATGACTTTTTTCCGTATACTAGTTATTATGCGTCCGCTCTATAAACTGAGTCATGTTAGATGATAAATTTCTTTTTTCAAATTAACTGCTAATGCGTCATAATTGGCTTGCGTCACTTAGAAATGATGTAGACTCATAATTGGCGTGCGTCACTCAACAAATTATGGAGGCTCAAAGTTTTACTCATTCAGTTTTTCCCAGTAGTGTCATCGGTCGTATCAGTAGTGCAACTTCGCCTCTGTGTAAAAAAAAAATATAATAATCATAATCTAAGCAGAATAATCACAATAATTATAATAATCATAATAATAAAAATAATCATAATACTAATAATGATCATAATAATGATAATTATCATAATAATCATAATAACAATTATAATAATCATCATAATAATAATTTTAATAATAATAATATTAATAAATATTATAATATTATTATATTAATAAAATATATTAATATATTATAGTATTATTATATTAATAAAAATAACACGAGTGAAGAGCAATGTATAAGTACGAATCTTCTTTTTTTCTAACCTAACTGGCAAGTTAGTGTTCATTACATTAAAGTCTTCATTCATAGCTTCTGTTCTCTGCTTTATTTGTGGCTAGTGTTTGTGAGTTATTAAGCGTCCGTGGCTGAGTAGTTATTGCGTGGGACTCATAATCTCTAAGTCGCAAATCGAATCCGAGATGTAGCCGGATTTTAAATAAATCGAGGCTAATCTCGCGATAAGCAAGGGTATTGTAATCGCCTACTAGACTTTTTCCCCGTAAATAACTTTGTTTACAGAATGGTCAAAATTAGAAATAATAAGTTGGTTCATTTCATTATGAATTCAAATTGATTGCGCCTCGGACGGCAAAGGTCCTGGGTTCGAATCTGACAAGACCTGTTTTTTTTTCAAAACGGAAATAGCCCGCTTTAAAAACACTGTGTCAGCTTATTGTTGTCTGCTAATGTTCATTCGGCTTAGTTGCCATTTTGTAGATTGTTTTTTATTATTATTATAACATTTCACTTGCTCAGCTGTTTATATTTTTTTTGCTTAAGAAATTTTCGTTTTTTTGCTTAAGAACTTTAATCTGCCCAAGTGATTTCGGTTTTTCTTTTACCAGCTTAGTTAGCTAATTTCGATCAGGATCGCACAAAATGCTGAAAAACTTAATAGAAATCATAGTTCAAGCTTTTTATGACAACAGTTTTTTTTGTGGCTCTTTTGCTTTTTTGTTCCCGGCTTAATAGGTGTCTGCCTATATTATATCGGTTTAATAAAAATAATGTATAATAACAAGCATAACTTTTTGTCCACAAATTATTCCGACCACTGTTATTTAATTATTTTTCTAGTTATGGCCGTTTTTTTTGTGAGCAGTGTTTTCATGACTGCTTTTTCATGATAATCATGTGATTGATACAGGGTATGGTGAGAACCTTAGAACATTAGCATTGGCATTAATCGACTCAATTTGTATTTCAGAAACAAGTAACGAAATAAAAACGCATTTTGATCAAGCTGTGAGGTGTGTGAATACAGAGCTGTCTAGTTTTTGAATGGTTGTATGGTTATTAGCAGTTCTAGTATAGTTGTTTTCTAAATAAATTGTTGATCTTTACGGTTTTGCGTGCGAAATGCAAATTCACTTCTGTGTATGAAATAGCAATGACGTTTCGTCCAGTTACTAAGCAAGTTTTACCTTTTCCTATCTTTCTGGTTTTCTTAATCGTCAAAAACTATTAAGTTTTGCTCGTTAGTTTGTTTGCTTTGCTTACAGGTTTTGCTGTTTGAGTTCTCTCGATTTGCTCGACCCTGTTGATATAAAGTGCGGCGTTTGGTTCTGGGTTGTTGTGAATGTTGGCTGTTTGAGTTGACAACGGATTGCATGGGTAGTTTTGGTCCCCAGTTGAATCATCGGCTTGTCCTCTATGGTCATAGGCAGTGTAATGAACATCTTGTGGTACTGCGTTCATTTTGTTTCATAGAATGTGCAAGTACTGGTCAAAATCTGTTCTTTAGTTTTTTGATGGTTGAACATTGAGAAGTGTAATATAATGCACGCACTCTGTCGTAGAACATATGATACTAAATTTAATATGATTTTCTCATTAAATATAACTGCTGATTGTAAACTTCTAAAAACAAGAAGCGGTTGTTAATATTTTCTAAGAAGCCGAGAAGAAAAAAATAATAGGCATGGGTTAAAAGTTGAAAATGATTAGATGCAGTTTCAAGTTTTTGAATACGGTAATAATAGGTATATTTCAATTCTAAGTGATAATAAGAATAGCCGGTTGTTGTGCGAGTTAAACCAAATTTTTCGACCTGAATGTTTGACGTAAATAAATAAAAAAAACATGAAAATAAAAAATCGACTGAAACTGAAAACTGTACAAAGTTTAGTAAATCGCACTAAATCAAAGTGATAATTTCTCTTTTCATTTGTAAATTTTGTAAACTTCAGTCTGAAAAACGGAGAACTCGAGACCAACTGCAATATTTTTTTGATTTTTTATGCAAATCACGACTAGCAGGACATTAATATGATATCCTGCTTCACCTTTTAGGCGATTTATTTGTGGTAGTCAAAAATGGAAATAAAACACATACCCTACGCCATAGTTCCTTTGTACCATCTTTAAGAGAGTGGTCGAAACAAAAATGGAATGAAATGAATCTTGAGAAAATTTTCAATCGACTACACGCTATAGGTTATTTCTTTAAGAAACTTGCTACCCCAAATGAAGGCTAGAAACAGTAAAAACTTGCAGAATTTTATGAAACATGCAACTTCTATTTTGGGAAGCAATCAACCTCAGTTTTGCTAATTTCCAAACTATGAAGGTGTAAATTTTTAAATTTCATAAGGCCCAAAATACTGAAATTTTGACTACCTAGTTAGATGGAAAAAAGTTCGATCTAGAAATTCACTTTAAATATACCCCTTGCGTGTTGTTTTAGTTTTGTTTCTTCATTGTTGAGAAAAATACGATGCTAATTGTTTTATGCGGTTGCCTTCTAATTTAGAAATCTAAAGCTCTCCCAAAATCCAAATATTCTTTTTTTTCGTTTTTTTTGTCTTTTTTATCGGCTTAATAAATTTCGGCTTAATTAATATCGACTTAGTGAAATCTTATTGCGTCGTTACGTTCGAAAAAAAGTTTGTGCGCGTGTGTGTGCTCTGAGGGGAAAAGGGACTAAAAGTTTTTTATTAGCTTCGATTTTTTTGAATTTCTTTTCGGTATGAAGGGTTTCTGCTCAAGTTTTTTTTTGGACGTCTGGCGTAGAGGTAAAACAATTCAAATCCAGTCAACCATCCGGCTCATCTGGCGCAGAGGTAAAACAACTGCTTGAGACGACAAAGATTTGCAAACTAGAATTTTTGTGCTTTTTCGGACTATCGTCCGTCTGTTTATTTTTGTCGGTTTAGTTCCCGTAGATCGATGGTTCAACTTTATTCCAAGTTGCTGTAACCTCCATGCTTGAGACGATAAAGCCCGGCAGTTTGATTCCAGTTGAGACTATTTTTTGCAACTAGAAAATTTTGGCTAATTTAGATTATTGTCTGTCTGCTTATTTTTGTCTGCTGAGTTCCTTAGAAAGGACTTTCTCAAACTTCTTTCTGGAGTTTCTATTGGTGCAGGCAGTTTTTTTCCCGATATTTTGGGCTTTTGTTGCAAGTTTTATTGACGAAAACGTTATTTTAAATTTTTTTACCTTTGATTTTCATAGTCATTCATATTTGTATCGCAAGTTCTAAGGGCATGTATTTCTTCTTGCTGTTCGAAAGTTTTTTTGTTTTATTGCGTTCATTACTTTTTTCAACTTCTGCCCGCGTTGTTTTCCCGGCTTTTTAAGTTTCAATGAACTTAGTGAACAAATTTCTGTAGGTCGCGCTCAGTGATTTTTTGTTTCATTTAAAAGTTTTTCACGCTCAAATTTGATCGTTCGAGGCTGCTTTTTGATTTTTTTTCAGTTCAATTTGATTCATTTTCTAAATAAAAGCAAATTACCACGTCCAAGCTTAAATGGCTGAAAAACAAAGTTATTTGTTTCAAAAATTGGTTTCAACTTTTAGAATTCCCAGCTGAGTAACGAAATTCTTTTGCTCCAGTTTTCTCAAATTTGGATATTTTTTGTCAAAAAAGTGTCAATCATAAAGTTTTCTAGAAATACAAAGAACTTGAAGGTGATATAATTTTCTTTGGTTCTCAGAAGTTGATTTCATATCGAGAAAAGTAAATAATTTTTTTGACTCCTTGAGTTCATTGACAGAAAAAAGAAAATACCTTTTCTGCTCTAAAAACTACAGATGTGCATTCATACATATTAATGCTTGTATGAATGCACTTGGGTATATATGCACTTTTTGAGTTTAATTGAAATTCATCTGATGAAAGCGTAAATAGCACTCGACACATACGAACGTGGAAATCGCGAGAAAAAACGTGAACGATTTTTAGTTTCAAAAGTGTTTTTAATTTTTAGATTTCAAGCGTAAAAAAAAACTTTACCTGTTGATCCACTTTTCTCAAGTTGTATTAATGTTATCACAAAAGTGTAAATCATAAATTGTTCTAGAAATTCAAAGAGCTTAAAGAGCGTCTGTTTTTTTTTTTGAAGTTCGAAAGTTGAGATTTTTTCAACAAAGCATTTTTTTTCCTGTTTACTTGCGTTCATTACTCTTTTCCAATCTTCGATTGTCCATGTGTTTGTTATCAGATTAAGTGAAATTGAGCAGTTAGCTCGTGAAAGGTTTTTTTTCGTTGTTTTGTGTTTGTTACTGGGCGGCTGAGAATTGTGAACTTTCGAGACGTGCGTTTATGAGTATCAATCAGAAATAATAATTTTGAATAATTCTGCTGCTGTTTTTTTTCAAATGATTGACTTATCCTTCCGTTGTAACAAAAACCGCCAAAATTTTGCAATGATGCTGTTTATTCGATAGAAAAACATGTTCTTATGAGTTTTTATCGCCGAGCCATGGATCGTCTTTTGTTAAGAAATGAGTATCTAACGAGAATTTCAGTTTCGGCTAAAGTTAAAATGTTCGTAACTCAGCAGATAAGTTACATTACAAAGATTTTTTATACTGGTTTTATGTTCAACATATTTGTTCAGCACATTTTTCTTCATATCTGCAAATTATTATAAAAAGTTTTCGAATTTTTCTAAGCTACGGGAAACCTTGACAATTTGAATCTCGTCATTATATGGCTCCGCCAACTTTTCCGTGTCCGGGTAATTTTGTCCCGAGCTAAACTGTCTGAAACATCCCTAGTCATTTGCTGTGTCCCTAAAATCTACTTTGAATTGTCGATTTTCTTGCCAGTTCATTAGGGCAAGCACTTAAACGTGAACAAAACCAGACACTAAGAAATGGGCAATTTTGCCAAGGACGCAACCTCCCGGAGAAATTCCTGGGACACATGCCCATGTACCAAAGTTTCATGCGATTATTAAAGGTTGTTGACATTTATTTCGACCGGTTAGGTTCATAATAGTTTTATAGTTAATTTCTCCTGTAAACAACTGGTTTAACCACGTAGGAATAGGTTCGAATAGCCCCAGTTTCCAATTTTTTCAAGTCAAGTAAAATTTGAATCTTTTTTTTTACAGCTGACGAAATAGTGAATGTTTGATTTTGAGTAATTTCAGCGATGTTTGTTAATTAATATTTTTGTTCTATTCCGAGGAGTGATAATCCAAATTGTAAATTGTAATCGCGAGATTCTAAGCATACCTTCGTGGTTAATTAGACTTCAACCAATCCGGTGCAAGGATTTTAACTTGTCTGTCATTTTTAAGAGCTTCAACTTCAAATCGGGCGGAATATGCAAAAAAAAATCCCATAAAATTTGAAACGAAAAAACATCATTTTTTTCTAGGAGTAAATGCCATTATCTTGTTTTCCTTTTGTCTTAAATTCCTTTTGAAATCTGTTTACAGTTGATCTATTGTGCAGTTTTAATTTCTTATGTATAAATTGAGTACTTAACAAATTGGAAGTACAACAGCGGTCTCCGTGACGAGCTGAACAGCTCGTATGTTGGTCCTTTTCCTTTGTGGATGAATGGTGTTATTAATTTTTGGTTCTATTCTAGGAGTGACCGCCATTATCTTCTGTGTGGCCCTGAGTGGCTACGACTGTCTGCTAGCAGAAGACGAAGAAACGAATAGACTACAGGAGAGCATGCGATTATTTGATTCTATCTGCAACAATAAGTGGTTCATTGAGACATCCATTATTCTGTTCCTCAACAAGAAAGGTAGCTCAGCTTTTGTTTAAAATTACATCAATGCAGGGGCGGATCTAGGATTTTCTTTCGAAAATTTTGTCGACCTTTTTTTGGATCGACCAAATTGATTTTCCTCGCTCTCCCAAAGCACTAAAAAGACCAGGCCAAAAAAGGCGGTTTTAGGCACTTTTTGGAAAATGTTGACCAAAAAATCGCGTTTTTTGGCGCGCGCTCCCACCTCAAAAATAGTATATATTGGCGCCGAAGGCGTCTTTAGACAATTTTAGGGTCCATCACCAAATAGGATATCTAAAAATAGTACAAAGGGGGGTCCTTTTGGTCGGCTGGAGGTCGAATCCCTGAGGAAAAGTGAAGGAGCTTCCCACCCACCCCCCCCCCCCCCAAAGCCATCCCTGTATCAATTTCCAAGTACATGCTAGATGGGTCCCCAAAGAAAAAATGTTCGGATTTAATTCTTCGAAAACGGTATGCGTTAAAATTCCATAAAGCTTGAAGTTTGAAATAGTGAAATAGCCGAGAATTCAAATTATGTACGCGATTTTGACAAAAGTCGTACTTTATTTCGAAAACAGTGTTTAATGAAATGAAATTTTCCCCTCCAAAAATTTTGTGAGTTTAAATTGTATGTATCCTATGATCTAATGATAATCTTTGAGGCTGAAAACTAAGTTGTAATTTGAAAAAAAATGTATTTCTTTTTCATCAATCAACTGGGTTCTTTCAGCGTAATTTTTGATCAATTAAAAAACCAAAATAACTCCTTTTTTGGTTGAAATTTTGGAAGATAATTTCAAAAAAAAACTTGCGCCATAATAATCCCTGCGAAAACTTCAGTTAACTTAACTTTTGTTAACTTCAGTTTTTGTCTAAACTTAACACAAATTGTGAAAAACGGGTTTGAAATTTCAAGTTTCGTTCGTTTTGTTCGGATGATTGAAATCAGCACTGTGCTTTTCTTGTACTTGTACAACAACCAGGAACCCATTATTTTTATTATTGTTATTATGATTATTATGAGTAATGAACGTAGCGAAGATTCTTATATAGATCTTGCTGTTTTTTTTTCAGGAAAAGTCTTAAATGTCTCTCATATCTACAGATGTGCATTCATACATAATGATGCATTTATGAATGCACTCAGGTATATATGCATTTTTTGAGTTCAATTGAAATTCATCTGCTGAAAGTGACATAATCATAAATTGTTCTCGAAATTCAAAGAGCTTAAAGAGCATCTATTTTTTTCTTTGCAATTCCGTTTTTTCAAGAAAGTCAGTTTTTTTTAATGTTTTCTTGTGTTCAATAACTCTTTTCCAATATTCTATTGGATATGTTTATTATTATGATTATTGTTATTATGATTATTGTTATCATTATCATCATTATTATGATTATTATTATCATCATTACTAGTTTTATTGTGTATACTTTGTGTTTAGATTTGTTTGAGGAGAAGATAACGAAGTCTCCCCTGACCCACTGCTTCCCAGAGTACTCTGGCCCCAACACATTCATGGAGGCTGGCCAGTACATCCAGATGAAGTTCGAGAACCTCAACAGACGCAAACTCACCAAGGAGGCAAGTCACTCACTCACACACTCGCACATCACACACAACGCTCATTCAATACCCCTCACTTTTACTGTATTAATGTCTAATGAACAAAACTTTCAAGTCGTGTGGTTTTTGATGGCTTTTAAAACAAAAGCGGCGTATCTAGGACTTAGCGGAACGGGGACTTTGCGAAACATTTTGAAAGGTTCTTGAATTTTGAATTTTCTGATGCGGTGCAGAATTTGGACATGTTTCAAATTAGATCAATATGAGAATCGAAGCAAAATAAGAAAGTTTTAAAAAGTTAGAAAAAGGCAATCCGAGAGAAATGATTACAAAAAGCACTTACCTGAATCTGATGATGTCAACGTCAGTGCACCGTATTGAACTGAATAGTTAGTGTATTTCGTTCATTTATGACTGGTCTCATTTGTGACGTCTAGTTTTCTGAGATTTAATGTAATCTGTTTGATCATTTGAATGAATTTTTTTGCTTGGTTATTTTATCAAGTGCTTAAGATATGTAAAGGAAGCCTATAAGCTGTACTATAATAGTACATTCCTTTTTTGTTGAGTTTTATTCAGTGAGGTCAAAATACGTAATTGAGGTCAAAATAAAATCAAGTGTCTCTGTCCTCTGAAACCGTTTTAACTCTGTATGTAGTTTTATAGGGTGCCGGACATCAAGCCGACGGGACTTCAAGCCGAATCGTAAAATTAGGGACTTCAAGCCGAAAATTTTCTCATTAAGTCATGAAAAAGGTTAATTTGAAAATTTTTTTAAAGAATTTCTCAATTTCATGATCTTTATTCGGTAATTATTAGCGTTTTCACGAAATTGAAACCTCCAAATGAAGTTTAGGAAAGTTGAAAAATAAAACACGGTTGAAGGTAATTTTCTTGTTTATAATTTATGCATTTCAAAAAAGGGCTGATATTATTAACTAATGCCAATCCTAAGTAATTCATTGTCATAAATAACGCTTATTATGGACTGAACTAGCCTAAGATTTTGAAAAGAAACGTTTTACAGATGCAAAAATAATGATTTGAGGTGCTTGTAAAGTTTAATTTTTGGCCTGAAGTCCCTTAGGCTTGAAGTCCCGTCGGCTTGTTGACCTAGACCCAGTTTTATAAGACTCTTTAGTTTAAGGATATTTAATGATGTTTGTATGTTTGTTCTTGGTGTTTGCGAGAAAAGGTGTCACTTTTGAATCCAATAGGATGAAATAAACATTTGTTTACGCTTGCGATGAGCAAGCATAATCAAATCGGATTATTGAACTTTTTCGGGCTAACAACTTGTCTAACAGAATCGAATCACTGAATAATTTGCTCAGCCTACTTTCATAGTTAAGATCGAATCGAGACACCAATTTAGTTTGTTTAGGCTGGAGTTAAATTTCATGCTTGAGACGGTAATGGGTTCGATTCTGGCCTGGAGTTGAAATTTTCATAAATTTATTTTGGGAGAAATTTAATTATCGGACTAATATTTGTCTGCTTATTTTTTGTCGGCCTGCTTTCCACATCATGAACTTTTTTCTAGTTGAAGCAAGTTTTGCTAGATATGAAAACGTCTTGAATCGTTCATATAGTTTTCAAACGTATGGCCTCAGATTTTGTATGATTTCTTGTTTAAGAGTCGGTGAACGTAGTCCAGATTCTGAAATAGGTCGTGATGATGTTTTTTGTTTGTTTTCTTGAAGTAATTTTTTTCGGGCGCTAATTTACATTTTCGCGGTTTGACTCTTGGATTCTTTCTAACTTCAGTTCAATTCTTTTCTTAAAAGGAAGGTAAACGCCACTATCGAACAGCAAAATTTTAAAGGTCACGAAATATGCGATCGACTTCTAGATTTGAAAGTGGAATTTAATTTTCAAATTTCTTAGCGGAATATAAAATTTATCTATTGATCCAGTTTTCTCAATTTTTGTTCATTTAGATAAAAAGTGTCAATGAGAAATTTTTACGGAAATAAAATTGCTGTAAGGCCATCTATTTATGTGAATTTCAAAACATGAGGTTTTTCAAGATGCAAGTCAGTATTTTGTTCGTGCATTGACTCTCTGCCAACTGTCTCTTGGCTAGGATTTCCTTTGCTACGTTATTGTGCTGGGTCAAAAGTTTTTTTTTGCTCAAAGGGGGGGTTCGGAAAATGTGATACCGGCTTAGTCGTTTTAAGGGCAAAAGTAGATTTTAATGATTTTGTTTCCGGAGCAAACAATTTTGTAGGGTAATTTTGGTTTTGGTTGAAAAGCTATGCGCGAAAGTTCTCTCGGTTTAGGTAGTGCTCATTCGTGAAAAACGTATGAAGTTTTTGTATGTTTTATTTTTATGTATATTTTCCGTCTTAGCAATCGCAGCCTCATTTGCTAAAATAGTTTGAGATGTATCGAAAGGGGTGTGAGTTTCTGCTTCGCTGCTGCTTTTACTTTTTTCTTTTAAGTATAACCAAAGTTTAAAAATAACTTAAAATATCATATTCTCTCACTCGATTAAGGGGTTGATAGAGAATCGACTTTGCGGGTGGCCAAGAAGCAATCTAGAAAATTAACTCAGATTATGTCAAAAACTAACATAAAAGTTAGCGAAATGATTTTTTTTTTGCTTTTATGATTGATGGGGAGTTTGAGATTTCAGTTGTTTTCAAGGGTTTTTTTTCTCCGTGTGTGTAGGTGTACAGTCATTTTACATGTGCTACGGACACCAGCAACATCCAGTTTGTGTTCGACGCCTGCACAGATGTCATCATCAAGACCAACCTCAAAGACTGCGGGCTATTCTAGAACATTCTAGAATAGAAACAATCGGAAACATTCAAGTCAACACTTAACCACCACCAAAAAGACAGAATGAGAAACGTTCTAGAATGTTCTCAACACAACCACCACCGCCACACTACATCGTCAGAAGAACATCGATACAATCTAGAAAATGCGAACCGATACAGTCAAAAGTAGAACCATTCTAGAACATTCTCATCTCTAGATCCTCTCCCCAATACACTTCTCAAAGACATGTATTCTGAAATATTGGAAACAGAGTTAGTAGATAGACTGTTTCTAGAAAAACGTGGATCTCCAAGTTGTCTCTAGCAGTAATTTAATTGAAAATTTATAAAGTAGATGTAATAATATTTTGGTAAAATATTGAGAACATACTATTGAAGTTGTCGAAAAAATGTTTTGTACGGTGATCTTTTCATTTCCTCAAATATAAGCAAAAAAAAAACAATGGTTTACCCGAAACTTAAAGAAATCTTTTCTTCCCGGGAAAAGATGCTTGAAATTCGGCTTTTCTGTTTTTGCGCAAATTGAATTATTTCGACATTTTAATGATGTATGCAATTCATTATGGCATCGTGTTTATCTAAAGTCGCAATGAAACTAGCAATTGAAAATTGTCAAATCGGGAATTTTTTCCCGCAGTGAATGGTGAATGTTAACGATTAGAGTATATAAAATGAGTGCAATATGTGTAACGAAAATGATACATGCATTTTTTCTTTATATTTTTCTGTTGAATTTTAAAGAGGAATTTATAATAACTCAGTTATGATTTATTGTCAGTTTAACTGAGGGAGCTTTACTTCACCAAATCTAGTGTAATTAACTATTTCATGATTTATTAATGAACCTTTAAAGTTATCTATGTCAATATGAATTGGTCAATATCTGTAAAAATTTACTATTTTTTAAGAATTTGCAGTTTTTCGAAAAAAAATTTACGAGCCTGAATAATTCATTTAATTACTATTGCTATTGAAAAAATGAGAAATTGATTTATTTTGCAGTAATGTTAGCGAAGCGTTGCAGGCGATGCGAAAGTGAAATGTGCTGCCACCTCGACCCCCCCACTCACCCCCATTCTTCCCTCTCTCGCTTTTCATGCTACATCGATCCAAGGTCATTTTATTCTTAATGAAACAACTCGATTTATTTATCAGTTTGTGAGATTTATCAATCTGGATAAGTTAAACACTCCTGCCCTAATGTATCTGAATGGTTTTAGTCTCGTTGGTGTTTGGTTTATAGCTCTGGGGCTTGGGTGCTTAATGTTAACCATCAATTTGATTCAGAAAAAAATATAGTAAATTCTGTTTCCGCCAAAATTTTAAAAAGTCCTATTTTAATTCAGTATATTGGTTTAGTCCGATACTATTCCAATAAACTGAGTCTAGCTGCTATGATATTAAAAGATATATAAATTGAAATCGTTTTAATCATTTTAAGCATAAGTCATTTTTTACTCTACCTTTATCTATCTCTTTAAAAAGGTGCAATTAATGAATAAATTATGAGCTGTTTTTCAACCTTAGAGTTACTAAATTCGCTCTTGTGCATTAAATGTTGCATATTTTTATAGAACACAAACAGCAGTTTAAAATAAATATAATTTGCAGATAAAAATGTGATGCAGTTGTAATTAAGTCAAGTATTCGTGCAATAGGAACAACCAAACTGATACAATTTTATAGTTCAAGGGCGATTTGTTTGAATCCGGAAGCTATAAAAAATAGAATATTAAATCTTTTTCCAGATTTTCTGTTTCCAAAACAATTTTTGTGACAATGACTTCAATTCTAAGTCGGAATTCAAGAACCAATGAAATAATTAAACAAGACTGAATTGCGTAAATTCTATTGATTCCGAATTATCGTTGTATCAAAATACTGCTTCTATGTAAAAAATTCCAATTAAGCGGAAAACTGGAAAATGAGTTAGAAAAAAATTGAAGTAAATTTTGGGATTTCAAATGTCGTCTCTTGTTTTCGGCTAAATATCTTTTCGGTAGATTTAGAATCTCAGCGCAAATTCAATGATTCGATTGATTGATTGATTGAATTGTTCGATCGGTTTTTGTTCTATTCCACGTTTTGGTGTTCCACGTTGTTGTATTTGTAGCTATAACTTATTTGAAAGAATGATTTAATTTATAATTTACAGTTAACTTAACTAGTTTTAGAGAAAATTCAGGAGATGCATCAACACCTAGTTTCAACTTTTCGATGAAGCAACAGAGTTTCAGTGTATATTTCAGATTTTTCAAAAATCGGAAATATATTCAGTGTATATTTCAGATTTTTCAAAAATCATCAAATTTGAAATTGAAGTGACACGAAAACCAGGTGGTTATTTTAAAAAGTGACGCTGGTGTTCTCTGATGGCAAATAAAATAGAACTTCGGAACCGTTTTGGGTTTCAACTTTTCCATGAAGCAACATGAGTTTCAGTTTACATTTCAGATTTTTCAAAAATCGGAAATATATTCAGTGTATATTTCAGATTTTTCAAAAATCATCAAATTTGATTTTGAAATTGAAGTGACACGAAAACCAGGTGGTTATTTTAAAAAGTGACGCTGATGTTCTTTGATGGCAAATAAAATAGAAATTCGGAACCGTTTTGGGTTTTAAAAAGAAACAACAATCCGCGTAGACCTTTACCGTTCTCCGCACCAGAAGTTTAAACAATTGGTTCTACGTGGTACAATACGATGCAATAAACAATTGGTTTAATATGAAGATAAGGCGCTTTTCTATTTCCCCCACATGTCAAATATTGTTAGTTGTTACTAGTTAGTTAGTTCTTAGTGTGATGGTACGATGGAACTTTTTCCCCAACTGAAGTCTCAAATAAAAGTGATACTTATTGCCTTTGTATCAGCATGCTGCATTGGCACTATAATACCATCTGCTTTGACAGCTGTTGGTTTGTTTAACATGCAAAATTTTTTAAACATGCAAAGTGGAAAAGAGCCAATTTTCCCATAAATAACTTTGTTTATAGGAATCATTCATCTGCTGGACTCAATCATCTTCTTCTGACATGCTCAGTTTCTTGAAAACTCAAATAAAATTAGTATCGATGAGGTAGTAATTGTTCAAAGCCAGTTACAAGTTGTAATTATCTTTTCATAAAAATGTCTCTTTTTTTTTCGGGTTCGCGATTTCCGTCCTAGATTCTCTCGGTTCTTTTTTTCAGATTTTTTAAATGGCATTTTTTTCTCGAAGATTTTTTTACTGGTCTTCTTTTTAAAGCATGGGTTTTGTTCCAATTTGAATAATTTTTACACAACTGAAAGTTCACAAATTTAAAAGATCATAAATCGTTCACAAACCAAGTCGATTTTGAGTTTGTTTTTTGTTCGTTTTTAAAATATTTCAACAGTTTCAGATTATGTAATATCGACTTAGTCAACTTGTATTGCGTAATTCAAGCAAAATATATCCGTATGCGATTATGTGTTTCAGTTTGGATGGGTCCTAAAAACTTTCAAACATTTTTATGACAAAAAGTTTGTTTTTGGCTCAACAGGTTTCATCCCAAAAAATGTCCTTGTTGCAGCTCGGTTAATATTTTACAATTTTAAAAGGCTGTTTATAACTTAATTCGATACAAACATGAAGTTTTTGTAGCTGTAATTTTTTCAAATTTAACGTTTTCAATGAATTTTTCAGAAATACTTTTTGATTTCTATTTTTTTTCGACTCAAAATCTTGTAGCGCTTTGTGTTTTCTGCATCGCAGACATTGCAAAACTCCGTCTCGCCTCTGAGTGCAAATATTGTTAAAAGCTCGTATTTCATGAATATTGGAAATATCAACGAAACATACAGGATAGACGAAGGATAGCCGGCTGCTGTGCAAGTAGCACAGAAAGTTCCTAACAGAACAGTTTTAAAGAATCAGTTTTTTTAAGCAAATAGTCTTATTTTTTCGTGATGTGATCAGAGGGTGTAAACAAAGGTCTAAAGCTTGAGTATGGGCGGCAGTTAATGTAATTAAGCATAATCAGCAACATTTTTTTTATAATTGAGTAGATTTGAAAAGACTTGCATGCCAATTTTTGTAACAAGCGGACAAGGTGAACAAAAAATAATTTTATAAAATTTCCTGGTGAATTTAAAGGCCCAAAAAAATAGCAGAAGAGCCTAAAGAAAAGTTCGCCCGTGATTAGTGATACTACGTGATTTTGAGTGGAAAAATTAAACCACCCGAAGACAAATTTCCTCCACACTTTCCGTGTTCGGAACAAGAACACCATGAACAAACTAGAAGAAACTATTTCATCTATTCGAACAAAAACAACCATACCTGGTACCCAAAACAAGCAAAAAAGCAGTACTTAAATGATTTATCAACTTGCTTCTGAAGTTCACGATCAAAACGAAAAAAATTAGAGCCACTGCAAGCACTATAATTCACACTTTTCGAAAGGGACGAAGTTTCGTTGCCATTGGTTAACTTTGGTCCTATTTTTTCGGTTATATCGCAAAAATTGTCAACCATGAGGTGCCAATGAACGTAATAAAAACATGATGTGGTGTTGGTTCTTTTCGATTTTTGGTTTATTTTAGAAAAAGCCCGAATCGTTGTTCTCGCTCGATTTTGAGTCATCGCAGTATGACTTATGGTTTCTTCGTTTCAAAATCATTTTCTATATAGAAGGCAAATAACGGTATACAACTACGAAAATGCAAATGGTCCAAAAGCATGAATAAACGTTGGGTTCGAAAAAATATTTTAGTTCCGAAAGATATTGATTTTTGGACTTTGTCGCGGAATAGAAAAGCCTATTGAACCAATTCTCTTTACGTGAGTTAGTTTTATTAGGAAATTGTTAGTCAAATATTTTAGTGGTAATTTAACCAACCAAAGTATAAACCAGCTACCTTATAAATCAGTCAAAAATACGTAATAAAAAGATATTAGGTATGTAACAATTAAACAACAGTTACGAAAGGCATGAAAGTTATGTTCATATGAAGTAGTTTTTCGGCTGATTTTCACTTCTGCTTGCTTATGTACACGCAAATTTTCTACATGATGAAAGAGATTCATCATTTAAGGCTACATATAAAAAACTGTTTGTTGGCAACAAAAGTTTTTCTGTTATTTTACTTAATTTTGAAAAAGATGTTTACGCTTGCGACAGACTTATTAACGGGCCGCCATAATTGAGGCCCGGCCCGATATAATTCAAGTCGAGCCCGTTGGCGGCCCGATAAACAGGGAACTTATTAAATATCGGCCCGCTGGGGCCCGTTGCTGCTTTTTTGGTAAAAAACAAATCAGAACACATTCGCACTTATGGCAGCAGCACAAATTCGGAATAATGAATCCAGAGGCGACGACTTTCACAAGTTTAAATGTCTTCCAGACTTCGGATTTGAAGTGTTTTGTGGTGCCCACAGAGTCTTTTTCCACAAATGCAAAGATTTCGTCCTTCGTGTCACGTCGAATTAGTTTCTGCAGTGAATCGGCAGTGAACGTAGTAGTCATGTCGTTTAGCACACTGCAAGCTGTACAGTGCGCACTGAAACATAACATTGGTTAGTCAATAAAAGTAAGGCCCGTTGAGGCCCGTTGACAAAAGTGAAAACCTCGGCCCGGCCCGTTGAGGCCCACGGGCGGCCCGGCCCGTTGACAAGTATGGCTTGCGATTAGCAAGCGTTAGCAAATCGGGTTAAAACAAACTTGTTTAACAAAATCACTTGGTATCTTAGATAATAATGGAGGTACCGAATATGCCTGCGACCGCAAAATCCGTGGGATCAAATCTGACCAGGAACTGCTTGTTAATTTTTCAAAGGGGAAATATTCTGTCTCAAAACAAATGTCGGCTTTTTACTTGTCTGCTAATGTTTTGTCGGCTTACCTGCCACATGTTAAAATTTTTTGCTGTATGCAGTTTTCTTTGTAGTTATTTTCTAAATTTCTCTTACACTCCTGCAATTTGTAGCTCGACTAAATTTGACTTCGTATGTGTTTTCTCTTTCGCTTCGAAAATCTTTCGGCGTATATTTTATTAGTTTACTTTAATCAATAATTTTTTTAAAGTTTTGTCAAACACCATAGAAAGTATTTCTGGGCGTATTTGCCGCAAATAGAACATCACTCCAGAATATATTTGAAGTTTTTTGTGGTATCGCAAGTGATGCAAAACTCCGCCTGGGCGCTGTGTCAATTCTCATGTTTAACAATTATTTCAAACATAAAAATGAAATAATTGTCTGTTTTTTCAAGAGTTGATGAACAAAGTGAAAACTTTTTTATAGGCCTTGATGATTTTTTTATGGAGAACTAATTTTTCAGAAAACGTTAAAGTTTGTTCAGGCTCAAGTTTGATTATTGTGGTGTGATTTTGAGATTTTGAGTTCACTTCACTTTCTTTTTCAGAAAGATTGCAAACACCACTATCGAACAGCAAATGTGTAAAGGTCACGAAAAACGTGATCGATTTCTAATATCGCAAGTGGTTTTTAGTTTTCTGATTTCCCAGCGTAATATAAAACTTACCTATTAATCCAAGTTTTTCAAATTGCTTTCAATTTTATCACAAAATTTTTCTCATAATTTTCTCATGAATTTCAATGATTCTGAAGTCCTTCTATTTTGTTCTTAAAAGCTCGAAAGTTGAGACTTTTCATAAAACATTTCAGTATTTTTTTCTGTTTGCTTGCGTTCATAGGCTCTTTTCTATTTACCTGTTGGCTATGTTTAAACATTTTGAGATTTTGCATTGTTTTCAACTATTGGGAACTGTCGTTGATTTAAGA